GGATTTACATCAGCTGACTTTTGGAAAATAACGTATTTTCTTCAGGGGAATCAATCCAAAATGCCCCATTGTGCTATAAAAAATGATCATGTAGACTGACTCCTTGCTGAGTGAGCACAGGGCATTATATCTCATTAGCAGAATGTTGAGTTTCCGTAATTTGTTTGCAAGATAAATAATTTCCATTGCTAAATCCAAAGCTCAACATATAATCACATGGCTTTGGAATATCCAACATGCTTACCTCGACAATTCTAGAATGAATTCAATCCATGATGGAAAGACAACCAGATGAGTAAATATTCCTTCCATCAATGCTTTGGCTGTGTCCTCAGTCTTCATTATGGGAAGTACGCTGAAGGTATATGGGGGAAATCATACATTGATTCTGATTATAATTGTCTTATTAGAATTCCTCAGTGCTACTATATACTTGAGGTTGAGATGCACCACAAAATGTCATGGTGGGCTGTGGGACAGTGTACAAATGTAATGAATGAATAAATAAAAATAAATAAATGGTGCTGTATCCCCACCTGAGCACCCTCCCAATCAACTCACACTACTCAGCCAACCTGTAACCTAAGGAGGTCAGAGAAATGGATCCAGATGAGTCCAGATTTGTATGAAGTTGACCTGCAGATTTCACACTGAAGCAACTTTTTCAGAGTCATGTGAATTATGGAGGCTTCTTCTCAAATGAGGGACGTTCTGGTGCTGTGAAATGGCCATTGAACCATCCAAAATTGTTCACCCTTGTACAAAGGAACATTTCCTAGTTACAGTAGTATTATCATTCCTGTTGAATGGTTGTAAACTTGTTCGGGTTTTAAAAATATATTATTATCAACCGGTTAGAACTGCAAGGTGTTTGTGGCCTGAAACAGACACTTAGAGGATCCTGAGCCCCACTTCAACACCAGACGTTCTGCAAAGAATGTCCTTTTCACAGAGGAGCTATACTGGGAACTGAGGGATGCTTTCTGACTCATTCATGCTCAAGTCAAGTGTAGGCAAAGGGCTTCCAAACCTTCTTTCCCCTCATGCAAATGACGGAGGCCTTCTTTTTGGAATCTCAGAAACGCACTGACCTGTGTCTTGGTTTGTACATGGAAGTGAATAGTTCATGTTTATTGTTGTGAGCATGGGGGCATTGGGCAGGAGGTTCTCACAGAGAAGGAGAAAGGGTGCGGCTGTCCTTCCAGCCTCCACTGGCTAAGTCAGCAGGTCCAGCAGCAGCTCATTTTTAAGGGAGTAAGTACAGCCCCCTTCCCTTGTGGACTTTCTTATGAACAGGCTCCATTAAAGTCAATGATTTAATGTGAATTAAGGCCACTGAAGATAATCTGATTTGCTTCTGAGGAGACATGAATTTCAGGTAATTGTATCTTGAGCAAGAGGATGAAGAAGGCTTGAAAGGTCACTGCAAACTTTAATTTTCACAGGAGAGAGCATTTGCAAGTCAGAGAGAAAAAGATAGAGAAGCACAAGGATGGTGGGTAAGGGAAAGCAGAAAGCAATGGAAGGATTTCTAGGTTTTTCTGAAGCCCCCATAAGTCGCCTCCTCTTCCTCCTGCAGCCCAACATCCCACTAAATCCTCTGCCCCCCCTTCCAAACAGTTTTGCAAGCTTTATATTCACTGATATATATACCAGGAGAAAACAGAAAAATATAAAACAGCTGTGATAGAACTACTCTGAAGAAATTCAGGATATGTTAGCACAGGGGTCCTCAAACTTTTTCAACAGGGGCCCAGTTGAAAGATGCCAGCAGTGGGTGCAGGCTGACAAGGCGGTGCCAGCAGGGGGTGCGGGTCGGTGAGGGGGTGGGGGCGCGTGTGTCGAGGCCAAAACCGCTGAGGTGGGCTGGATGAATGGGCATGATGGGCCGCATCCGCCCCGCAGGCTGTAGTTTGAGGACCCATGTGTTCGCACAAAGGAGGGGTTGGGGTGTGAAACACCAGTGAGTCGGGCTTTACAAGAATAATAAAAATGGCTAGTGTAGATTGCCCCTTAGACAGACCCCCACAAGTAGAGATTTAGTCGAATCTTAAATTGCTAAACGTATCAAGGCCAGCTGTATCCAAGAGTCTAAACAAAGCTTCAGGAGAAAGACCATGACTAAACCACAATCATATTTTCTGGTCCTCAGCTTCTACTTTTGTATCTCCATGAGTGAAGGCACAGAAAAATCCAAGAGCCATGATGAGAGAAACACGTGCCTTCTCTTTCAGATCCAATTCGAGGAATTAATGGTTTAAATCACAACCTCAACTAACCACTCCCATTCCTTAGACTTTGGACAAAGGACAAAAAGGTGTTCCGCATTCCACTCAGGTAACTCTCAGAGACATATCTAAGCAGATGCAATGAAGTCAGTTTGTCTTCAGTGATTCCTTTTGCTTGCTCAATCTGTCACCAAGGCCAGGGCTGGGCAGCTTGTACCTGTCTAGGATCTTCATTCATTCATTCATTCATTTTTACATCTCTGTTCCACTGGATAGCCAAAGCTCTCTCTGTGGTTCACAACAGTTAACGCCATAAAATGCAGCAAGTTAAACTGTAACAGGCAAGTTTTAAATGAAGATAAAACCAAGGTAAAACAGCAGCAGTGCAAAGATTTAAAATACAGGAGCGGATTTGCGGGCCGATGATTGCGGCCCGATGATGTGGACAAGGTGCTTGGACGAGTACGTCCTACCACTTGCCTTTTGGACCCTTGCCCGTCTTGGTTAATAAAGGATTCCAAGCACGGGATTGGAACCTGGATCTTAGAAGTGGTTAACGCTTCTCTGAGGGAGGGTCGGGTGCCTGCCCCTTTAAAGGAGGCGGTAGTCCGACTGGTCCTGAAGAAGGCGTCACTGGATCCAGGGATGGCCGCTAACTATAGACCAGTGGCCAACATCCCGTTTCTGGGCAAGGTGTTAGAGCGAGTGGTGGCGGGACAACTCCAAGCACTCTTGGATGAAACTGGTTATCTGGACCCATTTCAGTCCGGCTTCAGACCCGGGTACGGTACTGAATCTGCCTTGGTCGCCCTGTATGATGACCTGTGCAGGGAGAAGGACAGGGGGAGTGCATCCCTGTTGGTTCTCCTGGACCTCTCAGCGGCTTTCAATACCATTGACCATGGTATCCTTCTGGATAGGCTGGCGGGATTGGGGGTCGGAGGCACCGCTTTGCAGTGGTTCCGCTCCTATCTCAACGACCGATTCCAGAAGGTGGTGTTGGGGGACTATGGCTCTGCGCCATGGCAGCTTTGCCATGGGGTACCGCAGGGTTCCATTTTGTCCCCTTTACTGTTCAATATCTACATGAAACCGCTGGGAGAGGTCATCAGGAGGTGTGGGCTGCGGACCCATCAGTATGCTGATGATACCCAGCTCTACCTCTCGTTTTCCACCAATCCAGGTGAGGCAGTGGCTGTACTGAACCGGTGCCTGGCTGAGGTAATGGGCTGGATGAGGGCCAATAAACTGAAGCTCAATCCAGACAAGACGGAGGTCCTGTTGGTTGGCGGTTCGGGCTTCGGAGAAGGTGACCTGAACCTTGTCCTGAATGGGGTTGCACTCCCTCCTAGGGACAAGGTCCGCAGCTTGGGAGTGCTCCTCGACCCGGAGCTTTCACTTGAAGCTCAGGTGACAACAGCGGCGAGGAGCGCTTTCCTCCAGCTTCGGCTGATTCATCAGCTGCGCCCCTACCTGGAGTACGACTGCCTTGCAACAGTGACTCATGCGCTGGTGACTTCCCGTCTTGACTTCTGTAACGCGCTCTACGTGGGGCTACCCTTGAAGACGGTCCGGATACTTCAATTGGTGCAGAATAGAGCTGCCAGGCTGCTGACGGGGACTGGACGTTATGTTCACATGACGCCAGTTCTCCGTCAGCTTCACTGGCTCCCCATTGAAGTCCGGGCCCAATTCAAGGTGTTGGTAATGACCTATAAAGCCCTAAACGGCTTGGGTCCTGGTTACCTGAAGGAGCGCTTACATCCATATTTGCCCAGTCGCCCCCTGAGATCGGCGGGAGAGGCCCTTCTCCGGGAGCCCTCCGTGAGAGAAATTAGGAGGGTGGCTACTCGGAGAAGGGTTTTCTCAGCGGTGGCGCCTAAGTTATGGAATGCGCTCCCCAGAGAGGTCCGCCTGGCGCCGTCGTTATTTGTTTTTCGGCGCCAGGCGACCTTTTTATTTAAGCAACATTTTAAATGCTAAATACAATTGAATTTTATCTGGCCAGGGCGGCTTATTTTATAATGTGTGTTTTAATTAAGATTATTTTATATGGATTTTAACTTATTGTTTTATCGATGTTGTAAGCCGCCCCGAGGCTTCGGCGAATGGGGCGGCATAAAAATGTTTTAATAAATAAATAAATTTGAGACATCAGAAACTTGGACTAAAATGCCTGGAAGAATAAGGAGGTCTAGTGCTGAAAAAACTCAGTGTAGGCACGCTGAAAGCTTACTCCACAGCAGGAAAAAACCCCACCTTTTTATTAGCCACACACCTCATATTCTTTGGTTGGGGCTCCTGCAGAAGGGAATTTAGTTTTTCCTTGAAATTTACTGAGGTCTAAGGACCTTCTCTAAGGTCTACTAGATCCACCAACATGTGCCTGGTCTAAAATAGTGACTGGATGGTGAGCCTAGAATTGTGGAATGTGCTGCTTCACACTCAGCTCAGGAATTGGGTTAAAGCACCGGAATCCTTTTACACGTAAAACCCCGTTTTCCCCTCCACACAAGCTGTTTAGGACAGCATAAGAGACTTTTATTAAGACTCTTGTCAAACCATTGGGAGTTGCAAATCTTACTGATTTGCTGCAAACTACCAGTACAGCCAGGTCTACTGGGACACCACAGTCTACTGGGAGAGCCTCTGGTAAAGCCCAGTCTACCTTCCGCCTGTCCCTGCCCTCTGCTTTGACCTCTGATAAATGAATAACATTATATAAACAGCTGAAGACGAGTTGCAGACAGTGCAGAAACACTACCAGGGAGAATGCATCTGCTGCTTGAGATCCCGTTGGTTTTCCTTATAGTCCTCTACTCGTACTTAGAGGCATTTCTCAAGCTTTTTTTCCCAGCAAAGAAAAAGTCTATCAGTGGAGAAATTGCCCTCATCACTGGATCTGCCCACGGACTTGGGAGAGCCACTGCTTATGAATTTGCGAAGCAGCGGTGCACCTTAGTTCTATGGGATATCAATAAGGTAAGAAGAGGAATGCGCTCTTTGTAGGATTGCAGTTTGGTTAGTTTAAACGGACAGGGCCATTTTTAGCTGACTCTCTATGTATTCTTAAATGTGGTTTGCACTGCTTTAATATGATTCCAAGCCCTCATGGGAGGGCTTTGCCTGAAAGGTAGTGTATGTATTTCTTAAATTAAGGGCGGGTGCTGTCTTATATTCCTCCATGGCCAGAGAATTATAGGCATCCTATGCAGAGCATGGGTGGAGGAGAAAGTCATCTCTGCACTCCTCCCGCCCTAGAAAGCATTTAGACAGCTGAGTCCATGGAGGCACTTTCGACTGGGAGGGAAGGCAGCGAAGGCATTGTCAAAAAAGGCATAGCTACCTTCCCTCCCTGAACCCTGGGAAGCCCACTGACCCCTTCTCCAAGGTTGCATTTGCAGAGTCCCAGCTACAATGACCATACTGTTTTCTGATGTTGGAGCTAGGACACTGAAACATTCTAGGACCCTGCAGACATGACTGAGTGGTTATAGTATCCCTTTGGGAACAGAATAAAAGAATTATAATGCACAAATGAGAATGATGACTAGGAGTACAACCCTGCGCATGCTTTCCCGAAGTTAATCCCACGCAGCTCAGTGGGGTTCATTTCTCAGTGGACGTACCTAGCCTGGCACCATAAGATTTGTTTTTGGGGTGGGATGTGACGAACGGTGGTGGCTCAAGTTGCTCATGATGCATTATTTCTTGTTTGCTTGCTCTGAATGTTCTTAGCCACTGTGTCCAAAACAAAGGTGCAGAATTGCAGCATTATTTGGGGAGTGTCAGGAAATCTTGGAATTGTAGAACCAGGAGAATGTACGTTTGGGTTCATGCAGAAGATTCTACTCTCAGTTTTAGCCACTGATTGGCAGGACACCCCGGGAACCCCTCTCTGACAGAGAAAAAGCAACCGTGCTGCAGGGCAACCCGTGTACTGAACCAACAACAAGCTCTCTGAGCATATACAGAATGTTTTATAGGTTGTGGATGATGTACGGAGTTTGGGGCAACGATGAGGGATGAATGCGTACATTTACAGAGAACAATACAAATTTAAGCAGAACAATACCAGATGGACATCAGAAAGGATGTTACAAAATGCTAAGAGCAATGTAGGGTGATTGAGTGGCCCATGGGCAAATAGTCTGTGATATGGAGGTGGGGAGGTGGGGGGAGTATTCCTGAATAGATTAAGTGTTCTCACCTATTGATGCAATGTAACTTGTAGCCTCAGGCTGTATGACTAACTCTGCAGGCGAATGGATGGAATTCTGAAGCCTCCAGGGCTATCTACATTCCCAGGCTTGTGGAACTAGGCAAAAAGTTCCAGTCCCTTCTAGTGGGGAGGTGTGAGGGTGCTGCTGCCTGATTTTGCAATAAAGGGACACAGAAAAACATATTTTAATAAAATGTTTTATTTGGACTTTGCCAAGAGAGGTTAACTACAAATTTCTAATATCTGCAGGTGGGAACTGCATTCTAATAACATTTGGGAGCACTGCAATTTTCTGATCCCTGTTATAAAAGTAACAACCTCTTGATTTTTTTAAAAAATCAGCCTCATTATCATTCTAATGGACCAACACAGCTACAAAGTTTTATAAATGGACCTCTGCACCTCAGGGCTTTATTTTATTTGCCTTATTTATTTATTATATTTGTATCACACCTTTTTCATTTAAGAAACCCAGGGTGATTTATATCACTCACCCCCTCTTCTCCATTTATCCTTACAGCAATCCTGTGAGGTAGGGTAGGGTGGGTGGCCGTCCCTGATTGGACCAAAGCCTCCCAGGAAGCTTCATGGCCCAGCGGGGAACAGAACCTGGATCTAACACCACTGCGCCACGCTGGCTTTCACGGGAAGAAGCACAGCTCACCCAGTCGAAGTCAACTTCATTTGCAAGTTGACACTGAGAGACAAAATAGTGGAGGTGTGTTCTAAACAAGTCAGTCTCCAGGTGGTTTCTCTCTTGTTGGAAGAAATGTTTCTCTCTTGTTTCTCTCTTGTTGGAAGAAAAAGAAGAAACGTGTGAAAATTATGCTTGCTAACATCTTTTGGAATTGACTTTGCTAGTCTTCACAATTCTTCACAAATCAGGACACCAGTCAGATCTGTTATGTTTTTATACCACAAGCCTGAATCTTTGAGAAAAGCTGAATCGGATAGTGCAGCCCTCCCCTGCCCTGATACGATGGTACTAATGGTGAAATCACACAATTATCTTTTGGAAGAATTAAGCTGGAGTGGCAGCTTTTCTTCACCATCGATGACCATGGGCAGTATCTCGACTGAAATAATTTTCATCTTGTTTTTGTTCATTTACTTCTCTAGTAGTAAAGGTAAAGGTTTCCCCTTGACGTTACGTCCAGTCATGCCTGACTCTAGGGGGTGGTGCTCATCTCCGTTTCCTAGCCGAGGGAGCCAGCGTTTGTCTGCAGACGGTCTCCGTGGTCATGTGGCCGGCATGACTAAACACCGAAGTGCACGGAACGCTGTTACCTGCCCACCAAAGTGGTACCTTTTCATCTACTTGCATTTGCATGCTTTCGAACTGCAAGGTTGGCAGGAGCTGGGACAGAGCAACGGGAACTCACCCCGTTGTGCAGATTCGAACCGGCGACCTTTCGATCTACCAGCCCAGCAGCACAGCGGTTTAAACCACTGCGCCACCTGCAGTCCCTCTCTAGTAGTACCTGCAGTCAACTGCAGAAAAACCTTGCCCAAATCAGGAAAAAAAGAAAGCAGAGATTAGATGGGTGTCATTTAGCTTCTTTTATTTAACCTCTGTACATTTCTGGCTGCAGGAGCTACATGTTTAGCCAGAAATGGCAAGATCGAACCTGACTATGAACTAAGCATTGGCTCACAGGGATTTTGTACCTGTGGATTCTACCAAGAACTTCAGCTACAACTAACCATCCCTGGTTCTTGTGGTGCTTTGTCCTTCTCCTGCCTATGGCCAAGAAACCCTAGAACTTGTTGGGAAAGAGGGTGGCAGTTGTTCTTGGTGCTCACTTCTGAGTCATGCCAATCTGGATTCTTAGTCTGAGAATGAAGCAAGCAAGATGTGAGAGAAAGAGGTGAAGGCGCTTATCTCGAAGCCACTCTTCCCGAGAGCGCAGCAGGTTCTGCGAATAACCAAAATGTGGAGCCGCTGGGTGGAGGCATGGGAGAGGAGCTCTCAGAGACATACGAAGTTGGATCGGTGCTTAACCCTATGAGATGATGTCAGGAGAACAGCCAGCCAGCTAGAAGGTCAGCATAGAGAGAAAGGCATGCTTGCTTCCAAAGGGCCTATCTTGATGGGATTGGGCATAGACATACTCAAAAAGCATCAGATTCAGCTTTCCTCCTCGCATTAATTTGTCTTGTCTCATCTCATCCTCTCTGCTCCTCCACACTTCCACCTCTCACATTTCTTCATACCTAGAAGCACCTGACAGTACAGCGTAAAGCAGAAGAGTGAGGGGAGGAGAGTCAAGAAAGAGGAAAGAAAGAAAGAAAAACAAGGAAGAGATAAGAGAGAAAAAAGAGAGAAAGGGAAAAAGACGAAAGTGGGCAATGCTAGTTAGTCAGCCTTCTAGCAATATTAGAATTATTAGTCCCGTTCTATCTTTATTAAATTATTAGTTTGAATTAGTTTGTTAAGAGATATTGTTCCAACTTACATAGCAAGGGGCCTTGACTTCCAATCTTCTCCAGGTCCAGTTGGTGGAGCTAATGGTCTTCATCATGTTTGTTCTTTAGGATTATTAATTTTTTATTCTTAAGAGGGGACAGGACCAGCAAAAAACCTCCATATCCCATTAGGGAGATTAAATTGTTCCATAGAGCAAATCATGAATAGTTTAGAACAGAAACACCTTATTAGGCCATTTCAATGAAATCAGTGCTGCAAACCTAGTTTTGATGCTCACCTGTAATTTAGAGAGGCAAACACCCCTCAGGTAATCATCCAGATATGATAAGACACAAAGCAGCAACATCCGCTGCTGCTTCATCAACTCGCCATTCCCCCGGAAGTCCTTCTAACATTGCTTCTGAAGGACCTACAGTGAATCTCCCAGGATCTGCACCATTGGCATGTAGGTATGGGGCAGATGCTTCCCTAAATGTCTTCAAGCATGACCTACAGTTTTTCCAGAGCTCTGTGGTTGGGCTTATAAAGCATTCGAAGAAATATTGGGATCGTTTAATGCACCCTGTTATGGGTGCAGAGGTGAACCTTTCTTTTAAATTGTGTTCCATCTGCAGGATGGTGTTGAAGAAACGGCTGAAGAATGCAGGAAACTGGGAGCTGTAGCACATGCATTTGTGGTGGACTGTAGCAAGAGAGAAGACATCTATTGTGCTGCCAAGAAGGTGAGGTTGCAGATCTAGGGGGGCAGCTAGTGCTGGTCCTTGGTTCCTACGACATAGGCAACGGAAATGGCCATCTGGAAAGAGTCAGGTGATGGGAGCGCCGGGCCAGCTGAAGCAAACGCTGTTTTATTCCTTTATCCTAGTCATGATGGTGTTAAGATTGCAGTGAGCTTAAAATGCACAACTGGGATTTTGTGCAGGAGGGAGGAATTTTGGATTTGGAGGGAGGGATTTTGTTTTGCTCTACTGTTAGGGTTTGTAAATAGTTTTGTTGCTGTAAAACATCAGGAAAGTAGAAGGAATTGTGATGCATGGATTGGTGGTTAGTCCACTCCTCGTTTCTTTTCTCCTGAGAAGGGTGCAGAAGAAACATGCAGGGCCATCGAAAAGGCTCTCACTCCTTTATATCACAGCCCAAAATTACCTAGCTGCACAACAGTTCCAAAAGCTTGTTCACCATTTTTGTGACAGGTTGTCTTAATAAGGGACAACCCTAACCCTAATCCTAATCCTATTAAGAGAATTGGCCAGCTGTGGATTCCATCTTTTTCCAATGAACTAACATGGCTTTGTACGAGTTTAGTTTTAGTCCAGCATCTAAATCACAGTCCCATGTTAAGCCCTTTTTGGTCCTATTGCTTTCTTCAGTGTGTGCCACTGTTGAACCATTAACTTTTTGCCTGCTCCATTTAAGTCAACAAAACTGAAAACATTAACTTTACAAATCTAATCAGCCTTTCAGCAGATTTAATCAACAAATCAGACACATGCACACACGCTCTCCCCTCGCTCAAAACTCACCGGACTATTGCAGAATGTTGCAATTGCTTGTGGGGTGTTGTCTTCAAAGTTGAGAATCACCAATGCAAGATATACCAGAACTACAACTCTGCATCATGGCATCCCACTGTCGCAATGATGCCACCAGCACAGTAAACCTCAAGGACTATTTCCAGCTTTCCATGTTGCATGTGAGCATGGTCAACATAAAGGGTAGGCACGGCTGGACACTTGCAGAGAGATTTTATCCCCCCAGGGCCCACTGACTAGAGCCCTGTGGACTTGGTCCACCAATATAGCCTGCTTGTTCACCTCCCTCTCTCCCTGGTCCATACAACAGTGGTGGTAAGATAGTGGACCAGTAGATGTCCCTACCTAAGTGGTCATTGGCTCTTTGTCCATCAAGCAAAGGGTATAGTGATGATGGTAACCACGATGAGAAAGGAGACAAGCAACAGCCCCTGTTGTCACATAGTAGCACATAGTTAACCTCTGGAATTCACCTCCCTAAGATACAGTGAAGGAGCATCAGTTTGATGGTTTTTAAAGGGGATCGGACAATTCATGCAGGATAAGGCAACTAGGCCTGCTGGTTAGATGCTAACTCCAGTATCAGAGGTAGCATGTTTGTGTGCACCAGCTGCTGGTGGGAGGGTGTTTCTGCACACCTGTCCTGCCCCTGGGTTTCCTGTGGTAGCTGGTTGGCCACTGGGTGCATAGAATGCTGGACTAGATGGAACTGGGCCTGATCTGGCTGAGCTCTTTGTATGTTCTTATGACAATGGTGGGGAGAAGAACTGAGGGGGGAGCCCACTGAGGCTGGCTTGTCCAAAGGCCCCTCAAAGCACAGAGCTGCAGTGCTTGCTTATTTATTTATTTATTAATTTATTTATTAAAACTCTTCTATGCCATCCCATCACGAATGTCTTGGGCCGGTTTACAAAAACATTGATAAAATAGAATAAAAATAAGAGTAAGAAATATCACAGCATCCAGTATTTGGTGTAAAACCACAAATTAGAACAATTTAACAATGAAAATATTGGGAGAATAAAAAGGGAGGAAGTGTCAATGCCAGGCGAACCTGCTTGGGCGCATTTATTTGAAGCTGGGGCACTGGCTTTCTGCCTTCTCCCTGGCCTTTGCACAACACATTCTTTCCTTCTGCCCTCATTGGCAGCACTGCTTCTTTGAACGTTACAGTCAAATATTTACTGAGCTTGAGTAATTTCAAGGTCTTAACCAAACCTTCTGTCATCTATATTTTTTATTTCACTTTTTAAAGGTGAAAGCAGAGATCGGCGATGTGGCCATCTTGATGAATAACGCTGGGGTGGTGGCTCCGACAGACGTGCTGTCGACTCAGGACCATGAGATTCAAAAAATGTTTGACGTCAACATTCTGGCTCACTACTGGGTAATATACATTAATATGGCAGTCTTAGCAGAGGTCTACTGCAGGACATGCATTTAAGCATATAGTTTTATGTACTCACAATCACTGCAGATATACGATCTAAATCTATTGTACTGCACACGGAGTGGCCAGGAGTCCTACTTTACAGAGGACAGTCCTCTGTTTTGGAAAGCTAGCAGAGGAGAGTCTCTTTGAAAGTGTCCTCTGTTTGATGGGTTGTCCTGTTCCCATTTGGTGTAGAGTCAAAGAACCACAAAAAGGCAGAGCCAGGGACTTGACATTTCCCACCAATATTGGGCTGCTGGTCAGCAAGCTAAGCAAGCAACCGAAGGTTCTGTGTTCTCAGTTGTGGGGAGATACCATGTAAATTTACAGTTGCATGTGCATTTATAATTGCACAGGCAAATGTGATGCGAATTGATGCCCAATGCAGCTTTTCTTTATAAGAGCTATCCATGGTTCTCCTTGGTGGCTAACCTATTTTGGGGGTCCTCCATGACCATGGATAGTTCCATAATGGATGAGGAGCTGCAATGATACAGGAGGCACCAGCCTCCCCTAGGCCATGGATAAGACCGGGAAAACAGCTTTTAACCTGGCACAATGCACTGATGGGAAAGCCTTTATTTTCCATTAGGCATTTGGAAGTTTGGGAGGAAAATGCCTTTCGTGGAATTAAGCCTTCCTTGGACACGCACTGTCTGCTCACCATCCCCCTCAGGAATTGTGCTTGTTAGTTTCAACCCGCACTTAGAGAGTATGAACTCCTATTCTGATGCAGTGCTTTTAGTACAAAAGGTTTCATCAGTCTTTCTGTTGAAAGAAAATAATGAAAGATAACAACTGCTCCTTATCTAAGTAAAAGAGCTCCTTGCTAGGCAATCAAGATTTATTTAGCTTCAGAATGCATTGTGTTGGCTTATCCACGATGCCAACGCTTTGATTCAGTTTTATTGTTTCTTTCTTTACAACTAACAACTGACAATGGCATAGTTCAGCCCTCCCCAAGCCCAGCACGTCAGAAGGGTCTGGATGGCACCCCCTTTTGGAGTGCTGGTTTAAACTAACAAGGCTGCTGTGTCAGTGCACAAGGTGGGGAGCTGTTTCTCCCCACTGCAAGCAGAAGATGCTTTTCAGTGGGAGAAAGGCCATCCAGTGTGAGGAGCAGAGCATCACCACAGAAAGTCTCGTCAAGTGCAACTTCTTCATATCTCCATTAATCAGTCCTTCTTTTCCTAGGCACAATTTGAATTGCCAGCTTGGATCTCGAAAGCCTGAAATGGCTTGACTTGCATATCTGAAGCTCTGCCTTCTCTCACATAAGCCTCCTTTTGTTTATGATCTTCTTGATCCAGCCTGAGTCCCACTGCCATCAGAGGCATACTGGCTGGTGACCAGAAGCAGGGCCTTTTTGGTGGTGACACTGGAATTCTCTTGCTTGAAGAGGACTGCTTGATGCCACGTGTGTTGTTGTTTTAACTAAATAAGCAGGCAATCTGAAGCATGCTTAGACTTAAAAAAAAGTCCTACAATTCCCAGCATTTCCCAGCCTTCTACGCCTTTTATCTATTGGGACATGCATAGAATTGTACCTCTAATTGAGAACACACGCGTGCGACAGAAAAGGCTTCCTGCTAGCATGTTGGAAGTTGTGAGCCTTTTTTCTGCTTAAACATGAATGGGATTGCACTCTAAATACATGTGTCAATGACAGTGGAAGAAAGTAAAGAGGAACACTTGGATACAGCCAGGTGAATGAGAGCTAAACCTTCCTTTCCATTCTTCTTAGTGAGTCTAGTACTAGTTTAGGATCAAACCAGGCCTTAGCTCCATAGCTCCACCTTTTCATCTTAATCCCTGGTTCTCTGATCACTCTATAAACTGTGCAATAGAATGTTGGGACCTGGGTTAGATTAGATTATGTCTTAATAATACAGTATTTGTGTACCACTGTTAAATCACAATAAGTTCATAATTGGTACTTCAGTCTAACACATTTGACTCCTATGGAAGGTTAACTCCCCTCCTGTTCATTCCCTTTCAGACCATAAAAGCCTTCCTGCCAGCAATGATGAATAACAACCATGGTCATGTTATCACTGTGGCTTCTGCTGGAGGCCACTTAGTGGCGCCTTTTCTTGTGGCTTATTGGTGAGTATGATAAAGACATTCCCCATCAGTAGAAAGACTGTCCAATTCTGTCCTAGGAGATTCTAGGGATTCTATACATTTATTTTTCTTTGGCCTAGATAATGGCTAAAGCTTCCAGACAATCCTGACTTCCTATGAATGAGCTTCATGCTGTCAACAGAGCCTATTTGCTCCTTCTGGACTCCCCATGAGTCAGAAGTGGTTATTTAGCATCCCATGTAAAACTGGGATCCTGGCTCGTCATTCCCAGACATCCCAGTATTTATAAAACAATAAAAAACACTGCTTTATGATCCTGGCTTATAAAGAGAGCTTCAAATCAGGATCTTGGGTTCAAATGACACATTGTACACATGATACAAAATGTTGCTGAACACCCTTCATCCCCCACCAAACCATAGCTTGGCTGGCTCAGGCTGATGGGACTGGGGTCCATCAATATCTGGACTGTTCCATCTTCCCCAACTCTCAGCAAATGGACCATTTCTGGTTGGTTGAGCAGGTCGTGCCAGTGAGAGAAGTGAAGTGGAAGTGAACAGGACGCGTGTATCGGAATCCATGCAAACATTGCGGCTGAGTCAATGGAAAAGGTGACTTAAGACTGGTTGTATTCTGACAGAGAGAAGCTAAAGACTATTCCTCTTTAAGCTAAAACTTACTTAGTTTAGGGAATCAGGTTTACTGCAACAGCGGTTGGAAAACACCTAGAGGTTTGCCCCCACTTTCTCTCACATCAGCTTATGCAAAGTTAGATAAAATCCATCTAAGGATGTACTTACTAATCAAACAGATTAACACTCTCTGCCGCACTCTCCTAACGGCCCTGAAGGCTGAACAGACGAGGCAGGAGAGATTGATGAAGTCACCTGCTATGCAAGAGCAAGCCATTGCATGGCTCATAATTCCTGCTTCATGCCACTTACTCTGACACCCAACATGGAATGGCGATTCTGATGCCACATTCGGGAAGGTGTGATCCTGTGCACGTTTAGACCAAACAATGTCATACAACTCCTAGCATCCTCTAGCTGGCCTGACTGGTTGGACAATGCTAGGAGCTAAAGAATTTTTTTCTATCTCAATTTGCATAAGATCGCACTTGAAACTGTCAAATTTTGTAAACATGTCCACTCCTACAGATTCTACGAGGGGTCTTCAAAAAGTTTCCGTGCTCTGATATTTTATAAATATATTTTATATATCTCCCGCTGATGGCATTAAAAAGTTGGTACGATGCTGGGAAAAAATGCATCTCAAAGGAAGGTGACTATGGAGAAAAGTGATTTGTTTTTGAAATTCTTAATAAACAGAGTTTTTAAAAGTGCAGGAACTTTTTGAAGAACCTTCGTAGTATGTCATGCTCTTCTGTTATTGGTATCCCTTGATCACTGCAACTTACATATGGTGTATGTTGTATTATACATATTTGTAACATAATACAAGAGATGTGCTGGGTATAATTTGTGAAAAATTATTGTACAAACACTAATTCATTTCTGAACATTTTCTTAGCTCATCCAAGTTTGCTGCTGTTGGGTTTCACAGAGCTCTGACAGAAGAACTGTCTGCACTGAAGAAGAATGGTGTCAAAACATCTTGCATCTGTCCCATGTTTATAAACACCAACTTTGTCAAAAATACATCTTCGAGGTAGATGGTGAAGAAATTCATTCAGTTTGTACCTTTAATGCAAATTTACATCCTCACTTTCAACCCTATATGGAAACTGACATGTGTTACTTATCATTTCAGATTAGTACCGCTCTGAATTTTGTGATAATGTTCTCAATTTTTTTCTCAAACACACGCTTCCCACAAAGCCACTACCCTAATTGGCAGATTCCAGTGTGACAGCTGATAATCTAATAGCCATCAGAGCGCCATACAAGAAACACTCAAAGATAATCCTAAATCATTTAAAACAATCATTTGAAGTAAGAGAAGATAAAACTTAAATACAATGTATTTCTTTGCCTAATCAGTTCTTCCAGATTAAGCCAGGCCTACACTTCTTGATCTGAACCCTAACTTTCTCAGAGTTATAGCTAAAGGTTTGTGTCTGATGTTAGTCTTGTTCATTTCAACAGTTCTATTCAACCTAGGTTAACCTTGGATACAGCCCTCCGGGTTTTGATCTTCGGAAGAGGGTCATTACACCTTGTCCTGTACATCTTATGCAACTGAAAATGCTATTAATTTCTTTAACTGCAGATTAATGCCAACTATGGAGCCAGAAGAAGTTGCAAAGCAAGTAATGAAGGGTGTCTTAACCAACAAGCGAATGATTTTCATTCCACCATTTCTGAAAGTCACTGTAATGCTAGATAAGTAAGTTTGGGGATCTCTGAGAACAAATCTATCTGTTATCTACTACAAATCACTGAGGCGGAGTAAATTCCTGTATTTACTGGGCTAACTGTTGTTTTCAGGGTGTTGTTTCCAGGTAGACGGTGAAATACAAGCTGCACTAAAACAGTCTCTTTATCTTTTCCCTAGGCTTCTTCCATTTCGTGGAGCTGCAGCTTTCATGAAACTGAATGAACTTAAATTTGATCATATTGTTGGGTATAAGGACAAGGAAAATTAAAAGAAGATTTAGGCCTGCCTATGATTCTAGATCTTGAGCCTTTGAAGTATTCTTCCTGAATAAAACCTCAAACAGCCCTTATGAACACCATCTTATTCATGCATTAATGGAATGGACAGCACATTTTCCACAACTCCAACAATGCCCTGTTTCATAGATTAGGGAAGGTGTAATCCACACGTAGTTTTCTCTCTCTCTAATAGAGAAAGTATGAACTTTTCCTTTTTTGAAGTGAATGAAACCCTAAGCAAATCCTTTTAAAGAAAAATGCAAAATCATGGGGCAGTGTGTGGGCTGGGGACACATTCATGAGGGAGGAGGCCATCAGTGGCTCCTAAGCCTTGCTGGCTAGGGGCTGCCTCCTTTACCAGAGGTGCCTGCCTGCACACACCAGTCACTGAGGAGCTTGGGATGGAGGAGATCTTGCAGCTGCTTGCAGCTGATTTGCCACTGTGTGCACGGAAAGCTGGGCTAGCATGGCTCTTCTTGTGTTTTTATGACCAAGATGCCTTTGAGAAAGGAATTCTACAGCTTTCTCCCTGAAGCATTAAATAAAGTGCTAATAATGCAACAAAGTCCAGTAATTAAACATGAATGTGATTGTATGACTCTGCATGTACTGTTAGGGGACAGAGAGGAAGGTGTATTACCTCTCATACTTTCAAATGGGTTGGGCACCACGGGGGGCCTTGAAAACCCCTGGCCTCAAGGGTGGTCGGACTACTACCTGCACCAAATTTGCTGTACAGTTGGTGCTTTGCTGAAGAATTTTTGTGGCAAACCATCAAGGTGGCTTATATTAGAGGACTCAATAATCCAGTAAAAAGGAGACCCACTCAAGCGCTAAAGAGATTAAAGACAGATGTTAGCTACAAGAAACTCATATCAAGAAGCAAAGTTTTCATTTGTTGCTACATGTAGGGTTAGGAAAAACTTTTTTCTTAATTGTTGACACAAAGACAAAAGGGGCTGCAATTTTTATACCTTCAGGTACAGTTTAATTTAGAGGAGCAGGTAAATGATGTTATTTTGGGATCCGTAGGGGATAGAGAGGAAGTCAGAAATGCTTATTAATAACTATATTTGCACCGAATCAAGCTCAAAGTTCTTTTTAAGAGAAAATTACAAAATGGTGTGGATTCTCTTATTATGAAATATTGTTAGGAGGTGATTTCAATGGAGTTCCAAATATAGTACTGGACAGAAAAGGTACAAAGCAGGGTCAAAACCCTTTTTGAGTGACATGAAGGTGTTAGGTTAATTGATAGTTGGTGATCTTACAATACAGATAACAGGGGCGATACAGGGTTCTTCAGCTGTTCATCAGACTTATTCAAGAATATTTTTTGTCTCGCCTGAGCCATTTTAACAGTTAATTTTAGTTTTAATATTGCATTTGATCCTGTACCACTGTTATACTTCTGTGCTGATTAGGTTGCAGTTGCTGTGGTTTTATTATACATTTTTTTCTTTTTCTTGTTTGTGTGTTTTTAACTTTCGTTAACTTCCCAGCCAGCCTTTGCTATTGGGCAGTATAAAAATTAAATAAATGAATAAGGAAGATACTTGTCACAGCATTGTAGTCGTACTTTTAATATATATTGGAAGGAAACATGTGTGAGATTCATTTCAGAGGTTACAGACAAGATGCTATAAAAAGCGGGACAAAAAGCACCATTCCATATTACTTGGAATCAATTTAACTTCTGAAAAACTTATTACTGAAAGTGTCCCTATACATACTTTTGCAGGACATTTATTTATTGTTCTTTTCTCTCACATCCAAGAATAGCTTCAAATTTTACATTAATTATCTTGTCCACAGCCAGCAAGACACGCTCTGGTAGAATTCTGCAAGAAACAAAGAAACATCAAATTACAACAGTACAAGATGCTGAAAGTCTCCTTGGCATACAGTAGCTTGCTTTTTGTTTGTACTCCAACTCATGCTTTTAATCTGAACAACTCAGAAAAAGAGCTCTCATCTCCTAAGGATACAACACATACCTTTCCAGCAGTAGAGCGGTTGTCAAAGAAGGTGGAAGAAAAATCATTTTTTGGTTGCAAAGTATTCCATCCATGAGTTTCTTTGCAACTCTGTCAGGTTCGAGAACAGGCAGTATCCTGGAGTTAAATGAAAGCATGCTTTAAATAATGACCTTTGATAAAATTATGGATCATGGCACTATGGCAGTTTGATATTTGCTTTAACAGCATAGTTATAATTGTTAACACATGCCTTAAATCTGAGTCATTGCAGTCCTGCAATTGGAATGACAGGCTGGATGGTTCCTTGAGGGATTCTGTGAAATTAATCCCCTGTGCCAAAGGAAGATTTAGACTGCAGTTAAGTACATGCTTACTCAGGAATAAGTTCCACTGATTTCGGTGGCTAGCTATGCACAGAACTGCTCTGTTAAGGAGTGATCCTATGCAAGTTTAGGCAGAGAAAGGGCATTCTAGAAATTACAGGCTATTTACTTAAGGATGGATGAATCCATCAATTTCATTCTCTCCACGCTTCTAGTCTTAATTTGGCTTCATCCCAAGATTTGCAGTTTAAAAAAAAACACATGAAAATTTATATATATTTCTCTTAACGTGTTTGCCTAATCTGCACATTTTCCAAACGAAAAGTCTAATATAATGTATTTTGAATGTTCATTAATACATGCACATTTTGTGCACTTTCATCTGATGTGCACATTTTTCTATGCAGTTGGAGCACTCCTTTGAAACATTTGGAGAATGGTGAAATTTGCAGGCTAATGAAGTTTTGGTTTACATTTAGGCTAGAAGCTACAAACTTGTTTTGCTTTTATTATTGCATAATATCACAACTTTTTCCTTCTTGCCAGACTCATTGTATTACCAGTGTGTTTATTTAAGGTACATTCCACATGGGAAGGTAACATTCAGAGCCTGTACACTGGAGGCCTTTTATATCAACAACAACATCCCCTGTATAAGGCCCTTTTTGAGGCTTACCTTGAACTTGGATGTTTTATAAAGCCGGTGTTGATAAAAACAGGACAAAGGCATGAGGTTTTGATCCCATCTTTTCCCAGTACAGACAGTTCTTGACTCAGACTTTTATGAAATCCAACAGCAGCAAACTTGCTTGAACTAAGAAGGGGAAAGCGAATTTGGAAGGCCGTTGCAAATATATTACAGTGAATGCAAGTTAATTTTTGTAAATTTAACGCAGCTGTGATATGCAGGCTTTGAAAGCAGAACCTCTATCAGTGAAATGTTAGGATAGATAAGATAGCATAGCCAAGCATGCATTAAGCAACAAGCTTACTGTTTACAGCAGAAAAGCGCTTCTTATAGACCAAAGGTCTCTACAACTCTGAGTGGAAGCCTTTCTCTTCTCAGCCTTTCTCACCTTTGCCTTCGACCTAGGAAGTGTCTCTCTAATGAGCACAGAGAAGAGGACAGCCTGGTGACATGTCCTGAGAATGGAGTTGGCCTAAAAAGGCCTTGGGTGCTGACGGAAAGGGAAGACACATCTTTATTCCCCTACTAGCCACCAGGGGCAGTAGTGCTTGTCTATGTCTAAGAAGGAAGCATAAAGAGAGGGGCAGAAAGAATCAGAGAAATGAGTTGCGGGAATCCAGAAATATTCTATGACATTGGCTGTGTCTGTCGGAACCTGATGCAACAGGTTTTGGTTTTCCCTTGGGGAGTTTGGCTATCTGCCCTTTCTATGTGTAGGTAAACCAAAATATTACAAAATGCCAAGAAGCTTCCAAGGCCCTCTTTCCAAAGAAAACATACCCAGAAGAGGATGCTGTATCCCTGTAACTTCTTATTGCATGGGGAATTGGTGACCCTGCACCTCTGTGCCATATCCTATACAATGGGGGGCCACAGAGGCCTGCATTTAACACTTTTGTATACTGTCCCAATAGGCTCATGGCTCTCTGGATGATTTACATACTAATAAGCCATTGACAGAGCATAAAACTACACCATCAGATTAAAATCAAACTACACGATCAACTTAAAATTAAAGTATCAATGCCAATAAAACCATGAAACAATCATGCATCCCCATTACAGCAAGAGCACCAGTTGGTTAATGACATACATTAACATTGCAGATTGGATACATCCTAAAAGATAATTAAAATTCCAAAGCTCACTAATTAAAACAGCAACCAGAGTTAAAATATAAACCTAAAACAGTCAACAGTTAAAGTGCTCCAAGAATAAAAACATCTTAACTTGAGGATGGAATGTATACAAAGAAGGTGCTTGGCATACATCTCTGGGGAGTCAGTTCCATAAATGAGGTGCCACAACAGAGAAGCCCCTCCTAGCTTCCTTTACAGGGGGCTCCTGGAGCGGGGTCTTAGGGTGATGATCTTAGGGTCTGAGTAGGCCTATACGAATGGAGATATTATTTCAGATATTCAGGTCCTAAAACATTTAGGGCTTTACATGCTAAGGTGAGCACCCTGAAGTGGGCCTGGACTTCAATGGGCAATCAATGCAGATGACTGAGACTGGTGTTATGTGTTTAGTACTATCAGTCTCCCTCAGCAGTCTGGCTGCTCTGTTCTGCACCCACTGAAGCTTCTGGTGGGTGGGAGAGGGTGAGGCAGCAGTGTGGTGTCACTGGCTTTCCTGCAAGGTGGGCAGCAGTGGAGCGGCCAGTCAGCGTCCCAGCAATGAGGGTGGGTCTCCAGTTCTTCAGCAGGGCAGGTGGAGCAACAGGTGGGTGGGAGGGACCCACAAAATCTGATACCCTCCCTTGTGTCACGGAGGTGCTTTCTAGTAGCACTGGGATGGGGAATCTCTTTTCAGCTCAAGGGCCAGATTCCATTTTGCAGATGATTTAGGGGGCCCTGTTCCCGCACTGGCCAGAGCCATAGTCGAAAGCAGATGGGACTTACCCCATTCGCATTCCCATTTACAGTAGGAAGCATGTCCACCAGGAAGTAAGCGCAAGCAGGTTCTTTGCTTACATATTAGCAGGATAGGTCTCTATGTGGCTCCTTGGTAGCCAGACTGAATCACACAGTAGTCCTTTCAAGTGGCATCCAGATACAGTTACCCAGGTTTGCCACCAGACGCTGGAGACCTGAAGGGCATGTTTTGGCACAGGCCGTCTGCCAGACACCAGAGGTCCTCAGGAGGGAGGGGCAACCCCCGCCTCTTCGGATGTGGCTCTGAGTGCATTTTGCAGCTCGCCACGCACTGCCCACTGGCACCTGCTCAAACACCTGCCATTTACCATATGTGGCTTTAGATACAGTGTTCAGAAAATTGTAGGTGCTTTTTATGATGATGATGTTACTTTAATCAACTCTGAACTGGGGCACTTCCCAGGAACCTAGTCAGCACTGTTTTCTATGTATCAGGTGAAAGGATAGGATTTAACACTTTTCAGTTTGATAGCAATGCAAAAATAGAAAGTGTTCAAATGCAATTCCTAAATCTGAAGCAAACTGCTCACTAAACCGACAGAACAGGTATGCAAAAGACACTCACTAGAACTCAGAGAAAAAGCAGAAGCATAGATTAGTTATGTGAATGGGTCATTTCAGCTCATTAGTACCAACTGGGGAAGCAGCAAGAATCACTTATTAGAGGGATCTACATAGCATGTGGCATAAAATCGTATGGATTGAGAAAGATAATCTGGCATGGAATTGGAAAGGAAACTGGATTTATCTAGGCCAGAAGGATCAGTATGTGCTAGCAGGGGCCTTCAAAGGCTTCACAGAGGTGTATTTCTATGCCCCTTTACATGAGATACTTAATTGAAGGCAGGCAGAAAGAGGAGCAATTATATCCCACAGATGAGCCATCACCTCCTGGTTCCCATCTTTCACTTTTTTAAAAATGCAAGTCTCTAACCTTGAGAGAACCCAAGATGAGGCAAAACAACTCCCACATACCCTCTCCATCTGTTTATGTGTTTTATAAGCAAAAAGCACTGGCTTTTGTCTTTCAGGGTTTTTACTCAGGAAAGAACTCATAGCAATGGTGCTGTTGCTTAAGTGCAAGAACTTCCTGGTGCATTGGAAACCTCATGATGGGAAGTGACTGCATTCATAAATAATCAGTAATCTGTCCCCTGAAAAATCAAGGCTTTTTCTAAACTGGGTCTTAATAATTTTTTTCCTGCAAGTTAGTCAACATGTAATTGTTTTTCCTTGCAATGCATGCAGATAAAGTTCAACATTATTACATCTGCATTACAGGTACCAGGGCTCCGGAAGGACTCTGGAGAACCAGCAAGCCTGCACAATTTTCTGAAATTTTGGTAAGAGCTGATAAAGGAATTGCCCAACTGTGTGTTTTTTTCTCTCATGTAAAAAAAGAAAGAAACATAGACTGTCAATATATTTTTATTAATGGGACACAAAGTAAGAAAAACACGAGAGAGGAAAAAGACTTCCCCCATGGCCCTGGGGAAGGGCCATTCTCTCCCTGCCCCATTGCTCCTCAAAGCTATTTCCAAAAACTGTAAAGGAGATGCTGTTATGATCTGTTCTAATATGCAACTCTGAGAACAGAGATCTTGATGCTAAGAAGCCTTGTGTACTGTTGTGAAATCTTGCCATAAATCTATGGATGAAGTAAGTGTTCTTATAAAACACCCTTTCATTGTACAGCTGTCTTGTTCAGCCCTATCATTGTGCCAGCATTACTTCGAAGTGAGAGGAAGGTCAATTAAGAAGAAAGCTTCCATAAATTAAGTCTATCCCATAATAACCTTATTCTTTACATGAAAACCTAGGAGAAAAACATTGCCCAGGAAACTGTGTTTATTACTTTTGTTGTGAAACACATCAGAATTTATATTGATGCTGAGCTGGTACAATTCATACAATGTTTCTCCCCCACCACCCTATTTGATTCTAATCAAAGCAGCCTTTGATGTTAAAGCAGCAAAGTCTCCATTATACATACCAATAAGACACTAGGAAAGGGACAGTCACATGCCCACCAGCTGAAGCAACGGTGACAATATGCCCGTGGTTATTTTCCACCATTGCTGGCAGGAATGCTTTTACTGTCTGGAGGTAAGTTTAAAAGAAAAGCGAGAAAACATGTTTAAACACCCATATCTGGGGCATTTCATTAAAAATTCAGACATTTAAAAGTTTAGAAATGGCCTATTAAAATTGTTATCTATTTATAGTTTGTCTTACAAGTTCTAAGTACAGTGAGTTTCTCTCTGGCTGTTCCTGACTCTCACAGCAGCTTTTATAGGGTACTTTATATGAGGAGAGAGTACTAGAGAACATTTGTTACAATCCACTTATTTATCTCCATTCTGAACAGGTATTATGAGGCACAGAAGCAATTGGGCACCCTGGTACCAGATCCACAACGACCTATATTTAGCGTCCCTCACTTTCTGCCTTACACCAGGTATGAACCCTCAGCCCATGGACTGGATACAACTTTTAAAGATTCCCCAACTGGTAAGCAGTTTCTTCCTTGCCCCTTTCCTGGCAGGAAAGCTCTTGTCTCCAGTCAGCAGCTGACTGGAGAGATGAGTTTCCCTGCTGTGCAGGAAGAAAGGAAGTGCTTGTTCTGCACAGCAGAGAAGATCTTGTACTTGTTTATGTTGTGAGCCGGGGTTCCTCCTTCACACATTCAAAAGCCATAGGCCATGTTCCTTGCAAAGCATTCTTAATTGACCCAAAACCACAGATCACCCAGAGCAAACGTCCGAGCATGCAGAGTGGTTTGTTGACCTCAGTCGAGTAATCACCTCTAGGAATTCTCTTTATGAGCATGCCTGGGTCCCATCCCCCCTTTTTTGGGAGGGGGCCTTTTGAAAATGAGAGCACCTCCTGTCCGCACACTGACCCTCTAATTGGGCTGTGCTCCTCCGCTGCCAGTGTCTCATGGGGTCAAGAGTCATGGCCACCTCGCCTGCATCTGAAACATTCCCCTGCTCTGGGTTCCTTCCCTCCAACTGGTTATTCCCAGAAGCTGCCCGCCCACCTCGAGTCTGGCATGGCCAGTCCTCGCCAACTCCCCTTTGATCTGCTTCACATTCCAGTTCTGATTCTTATGATTCCCAGCCAGCAGCCCTTGAGAACAGGTGACCAAAGCAGCCACCCTTTTCATTCCCAACAGTTTAGCAGTGCAATGGAGAGAAGCAGTGTAAAAAAAAAAAGGTGCCGGAACTCACGTCTTGGGGTCACACTTTTACACTAAAAAAGATTTTCAATTCACCAACTTTTTTTTTGAAATAAAGAACTTATTTACCTTTTGCACATAGCTAGTCACTCTACACACACATAACCATAATGGTCGCCGCCGGCAGTAAGCACTCAGCGCACGACCACACGACCAATCCCAAGCCGAGCAGCGTCCCAAGCCGAGCAGCGCCCTCACAATCAGCGCAGACACACAAGCAGCCCGCAGGCACTATGTTAATGATTTTTGCTGCTGACCTGCTACGCGCGACAGCATTTTTCACTTGGAAAAATCCGTTGGAAAAATCCATCAAAAAATGGTGCCAGAACACCGTTCCAGTGCGTTCTATGACAAAAAAAGCCCTGGAGAGAAAAGCTTTCCCCTTCAACTGGGAGGCACCACAGGCTGAGCAGGAAGTCCTGCTTACTTGTGATCAGAGATGGTCCTCATCCTTATTTTTGAATAAACATGCAAAGGAGCGGTGCCTGGAATCCCACTGAGCAAGCTTTCTTATCAACTGACATGCAAAAAGGTTGTACTTCTGAGTGTGCTTACAACCAGTATATATATTTTTCCCACTCACTTTGGCCATTCCTGCTTTACCTTTATCTTTGTTCGTACTGCAGACGGAATGGAGACTTTTTCCAGACTGAAATTTGGGCTTTGCACTGAAACTGTCCTAAACATTCACATTGCCTGCTCCTTGCTATTTTAGCAATATCATTTAAAGAAGAAATGTGACTATTCTAAATGCAGTTTTAGAATTCTGAGGTTTGGAAAATACAGTTTGCATTGTGAGTAATTCTTATTGTATTTTAGCAGCCATTGTTTGGCACCAACCCCATACTCTTTGTTTAAGAATAGTGTATCTGGCATGATTTGGTTCCGATTTTCATTTATTACTGCAACATTGGCAATGTTCAGTCCATTATATCTCAGCTGGATAAGAAAAGATATATATGAGGCTTATACTGCTTCGTGCCTCCCTTATATGAGCGAACAAACAAACCAGCAAGTGTTCAACTAACTATACTTTCCTGTTATGTCTGAACCAAGAAACTATGGGCAAGAGCTTCAAAAAGAGTCAGGTCATGAAGCCAAGGTTGACAGGGGGTTTCACATAAGTTTATGTACTACATTTCTTTACTGCACCAATAGCCAAATCTCTCTGGATGGTTTACAAAGATGTCCTCTCTTGTTTGGAAGGGGTTTACTGCAGCTTCCAAGTTTGCGGGGAAAGGGGATTTGTAGTAAACTGAAGGCATCCTGGTTTGTTCGCTCCAGGCAGCAAGGGAGGAGCTAAGGTGCCATGCAGCTGCACAAGGTTCCTTCATATCTTCACTAGTAATTCTAACTTGTGGTTAAAGCTCGAATGGCCCATTGATATTTACCCAGTGATGAGCAAGAATGTTGACTTGAAACATTTTTTCAATTTGCTTGTCCAGGGTGGAAAGGAAATCAGCTGCTGCTACCACTCCAGCATTATTCACCAAGATACTCACATCTCCAATCTCTCTTTTTACCTTCAAAATGCAAGACATAGAAAGTAGAATAATTTAGCACTCTGACGGCTAAGGGAGGAGATTTTTCCTTCTGTGTTGTATAATTTGTACCTTCTCTGCAGCACTGTAGATTTCCTCCTTGACGCTGCAATCCACTCTGAAGGCGTGGACTTCAGCTCCGAGCTGCTTGCATCCCTCGGCAGTTTCCTCAAGGCCTTTCTACAGATAAAAACGAGGAACCTCACTCATTACTTTGCATTTTGTTAGCAATATGTAACTGTCAAAGAAGGAAAGAAAGAAGGAAGAAAGTCAGTCTGTGGAAGAAGGATTAATATGAGAAGAGAAGAATATGAGAAGAGAATATGAGAAGAGGGATGCACACCTTACGATGGCGAGGGGGTTTGAAAGTGTCAGAGAAGCCGAGAGCAATGCCACCAGGAGGCCAGATTCTCTCACTGGGTTGGTCTTCTAGCAAGTCACCAAGGCAGCATGGCCAAAGCAGAGACACAAGACTGAGCTGCATCACCCTCTAAATGGATGGATGCACCAGCAGAAGGGACCTCTCTAATGGGAGTGGGGGCAGAGAAACTCCTGAAGGGCACCCACTGGGCAGCAGCCCTGGTTGAAGCTGACAATGGTGGACAGCACAGTGGCTTCCAAGCTGTTTCGCTAACAAAAGTACCTCTTCAGTCTTTCTGGAAGACATCAGTGCACATGTAAACACCTTCTTCTAAATTGTCCACATTGCTTTTGTTTTTATAATGAAAGGTATGCGATGCACAGTTTTTGGATTTACAAACAAATATTTTCCTAGTGTTGCAAAGAAAGTATTAAAACTACTTTCTAATGCACAGTGTAAACATGCATTATAGAGGGTATACTTCAGATAAACGTTTATGCTTTTCTCTTCCCATGCACGAAACAGAAGCTAATCCTTACCAGGAACAGGGTACAACTCTTAGCATATTTACTTTGAAATAACTCTTACTCAAATCCACGGAGCTAATTTCTTCCCAAGCTGATGGATAGGAATGGCTGCAAATCAACATACTTATCTATGGCTGTTTTATGTTGCCACTGTTTGCCTTTTCCTGCCCCACCTTCACAGGCAACAGAGATTCATAGGCAGAGTTCATACCTTGTTGAGATCCCAGAGAACCAGTTTGCTTTGATGCTTGGCAAACTCATAGGCTGTGAGTCTTCCAATGCCATGCGCTGCTCCGGTGATAAGGACAATCTCTCCCCTGACAGATTTTCTCTTCACAGGAATAAAAAGTTTCACCAAAGCCTCCACATATGAATAGATTATGATGACTATAAGCCAGAGGAACTCCAATAGAAGATTCATTTCTCTTCCTTCTTTGCACGCTGCCTTGTGACTTGCCTGACAGTGGGAAAGAGTTTGAACAGGCTATTCATTTACTAGGCTCCGATTTTGTAATAGCTGCACTTCAAGTGCTACTGGCAAAAACACACAAAGAATGAGAGTCTCTTGATGAAAGTGAAAGAGGAACGTGCAAAAGCAGGACTGCAGCTGAAAAAACCGTGAGTACAGAAGAATTACAGAACTTTGCATATCTTGGTTCAATCATCAATTCAGAGGCTGACTACAGTCAAGAAATTACTCGTAGATGACTGAAACTTGGAAGGGCAGCAATGAAGGAACTAGAAAATATTCTTGAGTGTAAGGATGTTTCACTGCAGACCAAAGCCAAGAACATCCACACTACTGTACTCCTGATCACTATGCATGGGCATGAAAGCTGAACAGCGAAGAAAGCTGACAGGAAGAAAATGGATGCATTCAAAACAGGTGCTGGAGGGGAGTTTTGCTAATATGCTGGACTGATGGGAAGACAAGCAAAGGGATCACAGGTCAAATCTATCTAGAGCTTCCCCGAGAAGCAAAAATGACAAAATGGACACTGTCATACTTTGAGCGCATCATGAGTAGCTGACTGCAGAAGACAAGAATGCTAGGGAAAGTTGAAGGCAGAAGGAAAGAAAGATCAAATACAAGATGGATTGGCTCTATAAAGGAAGCCACAGCCTTGAGTTTACAAGAGCTGAGCAGGGCTGTCACAAGCAGGACAATTTGGAAGGCATTCACTCATAGGGTCTCCATAAATCAGTGACGATTTGATGGTCAACAACAACATAGAGTTCTTGCATAGAAACACAGAAAAACATGAATTTCTTGTGACTTTCTACAGCTTTATTTTGTCCCCACTTCTTAGCAAACCTGCTGACAAAATTAATCTGTCAACTGTCAAAATTAAGCCACACAGAGAGACTACGGCTAGTGGGATGGCACACCCATTAAATAAATAAATGTCATAAATCATACACAAGGATATGATTGTTCAAGGATAGGCTAGACATGCACATGGTGGGCATGTCATGAGTGGAGCTGGCTGGAGTCGGGGGTCAGACTAGATGGCCCAGGAGACCTCTTCTGACTCACTCTGTTTCTATACAGACAGAGACATGGATTTTTATTTAGAGAGAGGAAATACTGTTTCCATATTTAGGACCACCAAGCAAACATGGTAAATATAATGGGCACTATCCAACTGTTAGCGCAAAAGATGCTACACTAGCAGAAAATGGGAGGTGGGTGCCCTATTGCCCTTCACAGCAATAGCAAAAGGCCTCGGCCCAGGCCTGGGGCAACCCATTCTCCATTCCACCTGAGCAGGTTGCTTTGCAACCCGATGCAGACGCCTCTTGGGCAACAGTGTGTGTGATGGGAAAAAACCAGTGGAGCTCTGCTAGCGATAACTGAGTCTGCAAGAAGAGCCCCTTGGATGTTGCCCTGCATGCCTGTGGGAAATGTGGAACCATACATACACATATAGCCCCTACGGGGTGGGGTTGCCCAAGGATATGGCCATTCTGGAAGCTGGTCAGGACAGAGATATAAGTGAAACTGTTCCAGAAGTCCCACTGATAATGTTATTAGGGTATCTGAAAGAGGCAATCAAAATAGAAGGTCATGAGTTAGTGTGAAATGTATTGATAGATGCCAAGCAAATAATAGCCAAGTATTGGAAACATTGAAATGATCTACCCTCACAGAATGGAGACAGAAAATATGGCATGACAGAATGGCTAACATATTTGTAAGGTGAGCGGGGCGGGGGGCGGGGGCGAGATGGGAAAAGACTAAATTACATTTTAGGAAACAGTGGGCTAAATTCTTGATATATAGTTCTTTGCATTATGGTTTAAATATTTATTTATTATATTTATATGTATTTATTTAAAACATTTCTATACCGCCCCCATCGCAACAAAGTCTCGGGGCGGCTCACAACATACATAAAAATACAATCAATAATTTAAAAACTGGTACCATCTCGGCTATATATTAAAATCTATAAATACAATAATAATAAATTAACAGTTAAAATAACTTTTAAATAAAAAGGTCTTCGCCTGGCGCCGAAAAGCAAATAATGACAGCGCCAGGCGGACCTCTCTGGGGAAATAATGCTACCTACTTTACAGCATTTGCACCTTCTCAGCATGAGCAACACTGCATAAAGGTAAGCAAAGAAATGGTCACTGATAAACTTTACATAGTTGAAGACATTTGACTGTAATTCATAAAGAAATGTATTTCAGGGTTATGATTTGCGTAGTCAGTATTACTTTATTATAGATATAAAATCTTGCATCAAAGAAAGCAACATTCACGATTACGGTCACTTCCACTTCCGGCTCATCTTTTGTCTGAATTCTTCCCATGGGATAACCAAATGCTGGTGCAAAACAGTTAAAACAAATGCAAGAGCTGTTTTGGAAAAACTTTAACCCAGAAGACAAAACTTTGCTAATGCCTCCATTTTAGCACCAGATAAACCCATTGTATGGCCTGCTCTGGCAGGAAATGAAAAGTCAGATTTCACTACACACTTTGTTGGTGAAGTTATTTCACTGCCAGATTTTCAACCCTTGTCTCCAAGGAAACAAACTCACTAATGAGTAAGATTTGATCCAGATTAGCCAGTGCAAGCAGAAATGAGGTAGGATACAAATGTGTAAATACCAATCACTGGTTAAAGTTGACTGGTCACAAAAATCAGAGTTATATTGTGCCATGAATAGAGATAAAAACATTTTTCTTGATCTATCCAGGTATTCAGGCACAACGTATTTGAGGGTAGCAATTATACCAGAGACAAGGTGAGCTGCATGTTCTGCAGCAATAAAGCTTTTTCATAGCACACGTGAGTCTAATCCTATTAACAAAATCTGCTGCATTTTCCAAAGCTCTACAAAGTGCATTAACAGCACAAGATTACTGGGAGAAATAATTCTACGCAAGTCAGCCTGGGACTATAATATTCGCATTCTGAAGAAGAAGAGCTAAGTTTGAAGTAGTCCCCAAAGAACAACGTAGACGAGTGGTTTTCAAATACATTTGCCTCCACAGAAAGACTAAACTACTTTTCAAAGTGCAGCATCCAATGCTGCCCATGCAATTAGATGCATCACTAGTGCAAGAAGAAGCAAGCAGATCCTGCAACAATCAGAAGCAAGCTGAGGCATTGTTTCCAGATGAGCTGGCCTGTTCAGTAGAGTTTGCAGAACTCTATATATCCCACTCCCCCCGCCCCCCAAATGCAAAGCAGTTTACATCATTGTCTTCCTCCTGCTCTGGGTCTTATCACCACCACAACAAGCCTGCGAGGTAGGTTCAGCTGAGGGTTTGTGACTGGCCCGAAGTCACCAAGTGAGCTCCATGGCTGAATGAGAACTAGATTTCTCCTTGTCTCTCTTCTCATTTCTCCCTTGAATTCTACGGGCAGTTCTTCCTCTTGCGCTGGGGCGGTAAAAACATGTTTTTAAAAATAAATTCTGGATAGAGACCGAAGGATTCCTCTTACTTTTTCTATCTCTATGTTCGTCTTCTTTGAGCTGGAAATCTACAGATTTCAACTACGAATAATTCAAATTCAAGTTTTCTGTAAATCAGAAGCCACTTTCTACAACGTTCTTTGTGCTTTGAGTGACGTCTCTGCAGTGAGGCTTTCATACTTCCTAGCGAACAATAGTGTAACTCTATGTTTTCCGCTGAGAGCTAAAATAGATATAAAAGCGTTCAATAATGTTAAGCTAGAATTGTCCCCAAAAGCTGTGGTGGTAGGTGACTCTAAACTTTCAGCTATCTATGTTTGAAATGAGGGTGCGGGCAACCAAGCTGTTTGAAGTGTTTATGAACGGTTTCCAAAGCGCCTGTGTAAATGTCACATGAACGCCTGCTATCCAATCACGACACGGCTAGAGTGTTCCGAGATGAATTAATATGCGGTGGGACAACAGCGGTTGGCATCGCTGTGCTAAAATCGCGTTGCTTGGATGGGCGTGGCTAAGGAGCTCGCACGCAACTCACTACGGTCCCTGTAGTTTTCCGAAGGGGCGGGACGAGTGCGAAGAGGTAGCCACTGGGTGAGGCCGGGAGCCTTTGGTTGTAGCCAATCACGGGGCAGAGATTCCTCCGAGGAAGCAACCGCGGACATGGCTGAGGAAGGTTGAGGGAGCCGGTTTTTCCAGGTGAGCGCAGGAGGGGCGAGAAGGGGGCCGGCGCGGGCCCTTCCCGGTTCCCTCAGTGCTTTTTTCCTAGATTTTATTCATTTATTTATTGCATTTATATACCACCCCAATAGCCCAGAGGGCTCTCTGGGTAGTTTACAAACATTAAAACCCCACCAATCCTAAAATAAATAAATTGACTACACCGCGACTGAGTATAAATAACATGGTTAAAATGAATTAAATAAATAAATATACCACTAAAATTAATTAACTTTAAAATATTGATTAAATAAAAAGATCTTGACCTGGCGCCGAAAAGCATATAATGACTGCGCCAGGCAGACCTCTCTGGGGAGCACATTCCATAGTTGGGGCGCCACCACAGAGAAGGCCCTCCTCCGGGTACTCTGTCTCCTAACCTCTTTCAAAGAGGGTTCGCGGAGGAGGGCCTCTGCTGCCATCTCAGGATGGGAGGGCATATAGGGAAAAAGGTGTTCCTTTAGGTATCTTGGTCCCAAGCTGTTTAGGGCTTTATAGGTAATAACCAGCACCTTGAATTGAGCCCTGACTTCAATGGGAAGCCAGTGGAGCTGATAGAGGACTGGAGTTACATGAGAATAATGACCAGTACCTGACAGCATCCTGGCAGTTCTATTTTGCACCATCTGAAGTATCCGGACCGTTTTCAAGGGCAGCCCCACGTAGAGCATGTTATAGTAGTCCAAACGGGAGGTAAGCAGTGCATGTGTCACTGTTGCCAGGCAGTTCTCCGCCAGGTAAAGACGCAGCTGATGGATCAGCCAGAGCTGAACGATGTAAATTCTTCTGTGATACAAATGTGTGTATAAACTCATCCACATTGTACAATATATATTCACGTATGTATACATGTATTATTTGTATGTGTGTGTTAATCTGTTTATATTTCTATACATATTATTTGCCTTACTTCGCTTTTTTTCTGGGTAATACATGGTCTTTCCTGCCACTAGTTTTAATCTCATGATAGCCCTTTGAGGTAGGCTAGCTGGAGAGGTAGTGAATAGGCCAAGTTTGCTTCATGGCCGAGGATTCCGATCTGGGTTTCTTCAAGTTGTAATTAGCAACCCTTGTTAATACTGTAGTTGCTCAACTATTTTTTTCATAAAGCACAATTTTTAATCATAAACAATTGTTTTCTAAATAATTTCAACAGCACAGATGGGATGAACAGTGGTGGATGGGATGGAAAATGTAGGTGAAATGAAAATTTGGACCAAGTTGTAAACAGTGGCTGGGCATCTTAGTAGTTATGCAGAAGAGAGAAGTTTAGCAGATCAAGTTTTTATACTGTCATAAGAAAAGTTAACACTGCTGAAATAATTTGGTACACGATTGTGAAGCCATCACTACTTGGTAGTGTGGTCCTTTTGTCTGAAGGAGGCTGTGGTGGAACCACTTCTGATCCAACCCTTTATGTCTTAGGGATTGGGTTTCCTCACTTCTGCACTAAAGTATGCTACAATTTTTACACAACCATTAAACTATACATTTTTACACAGGAATCTGAATGAGTGTTTCCTAATATGAACTGGCATTATCTTACAATCCAGCTCCCATTTATCTGGAAATAATCTTCATTTTACGCAATGGGGCTTGGTTTTGTTTTGACATTTATAGGATTGCACTGATAAATTGTCAGGAAACCCAACACCAAGGTGCAATGCTATATACTGTATTTTTCACTCTATAAGACACACCAGACCATAAGACACACCTAGTTTTTAGAGGAGGAAAACAAGAAAAAATATTCTGAATCAAATGGTTTACTAAACTATTTAATAAACTATAACAGAATACAGTAATACTGTATTTCAGCCTTGTAAAGTGAACAGTCAACAGTGGCATTAAGAACCATCATCACTGTCATTAACAAAAGAGAGACTTTAAAGTTCGAGTACTCTTCTAGTTTTTGTTGAACCCATAGAACTCATCATCACTAGAGTCAGAATTTATGAAGCTCTGTTGCTCACCATCACTGACATCACTTTCTTAGTCAGTAGTGGAATTATTGAAGGAATCCACAACCTACACCAGTTATACAAGAGCTGCTGCAGGCAATTCAATAACAAATCTAAAAAAGCCAGTAATGTCCATGCTGCCCTACTAGTAAATAATAGAAAAAAACGGACAAAAAATGAGATATTGTACGGTAAATCAAACACACAGCGGACTAAGTAGCCTTTGAAGAATAAACTTCATACACGAAGGTCATGCTGTTCAAATATCCACTGATCCTAAAAAAAATGTGTCTGATCAACTAACAGATAACTGATCCATGGAAAGCTTCCTGATAATCACAGGCACATTCCTCATCACTTCCCCATGGGCTTCATTAAAAGATGGGTTGCCATTTGAAAACACACACCGACCTGTGATTAACAGCTCTCACCTGCGCCGGAGGAGGGGGACGGAGCAGGGCGCGCTGAGCGCGTGCTGGCCAGGTGGTGCCACGTGGTGCAGGCGGCCGGCAGCGCCCCGGGCGTTGGGCACACACACATTCGCTCTATAAGACGCACAGACATTTCCCCTTACTTTTGAGGGGGGAAAAGTGTGTCTTATAGAGCGAAAAATACGGTGCATTTTCTTCGGGTAATATCTATTCAACTTATTTGATGTATTTCTGAAAAAAGTCGTATTTCACAATATGCTGGTATATTTTAAAACATGAATTTGCCTAGTTAACAGTAATATATAGCACTGGGATAAACTGACACTCGACTGTTAAAATACAAAGCCCTTACAAATTGCTGTATTTTGTCTTCAGATACACAGAGAAATCTGTGGCAAATTTACTGGAATTGTCAAGTGATAAATGAAGCTTACATGAAATAAGGGTACAGGGTCTGATTTAACAACTAGAACTGAATATGGCATCTTCCTTCCAATAATTAGATGTTTAAACTGTGCAGGTACTATCACCTTGGCTTAGAGTGAATAAAGAAGAGAAGGCAGCACATGTCACACTGAGATGTTTCCTGTTTTGTCTCCTGGTTGTCCAGGTTTCATTTCTCTCTGGAGAGGCCCAGTTCCTTGTGAACTCACTGCATGGGATGGCAAGGGGTCTCTTCACCCGCACCGTTACTGTGGTGTCTCTTACTGTAACTCTATCTGCAGTTGCTTCTAGGTATTCTTACTGCCGCTATTTCTACCCAATATTTGAAGCAGCCAGGATTCTTGCCTGCAGGTATTTATCCTAATATTACTCTTTGCACCTGTGTTTTAAGCACAGATCAGTTGAAGTCCAGGGTGCTGATGTAGCTCCACTCTTTGTAAGCTAAACAGGTGAGGAATAATTTCAGATCAATCAGAACCCTAATGTAGGCAGTGTGGTATGTTTAATGTTATTTAGGGAGCAATCTGATGAGGTGCCTGTAAGCCTCCAGAGTTGGAGTATTATGTGCATCCCACACAGGGTAGGGAAAGCACAGAGGTGATCTTCGCTTCTGCACTCCTTCTGTACTGAAGATGACTGTTCCCATGACAAACTTTGGAGGGGAGGGAAGGAGGCTGGAATGTCACTGGAATGCACTGTATCCTGGAGGTTCTGTTCTTTCCCCTGTCCCCCACCCCATTCTCCAAAAGAGTAGGCATTAGAAGTGTTCACCATTCAGCTTGTACTGTGTGATGAAAATAAAGCTTGGTTTGGAGTTCAAGAATTTGGATGAGGAGGGACTTCCCAGTTTCCCCCTACCCACCCTTTATCCACATTTTAAAAGTTGGTTATTTATTGTTGAAATAACACAAAATGTGGTATTTTCTTGGATTGCTGAGATATCCAACAGTATGTGTTTGTAGCCTAGCATGTATGTATGATTGAATCATTTTCCCAGTCACGTTCTGTAGGTAACAACATTTGAACAAGTTTACTTTTTTCCTTTTCACATAACTGCTGCTCTTTTCTTGCAGCCCATTGTCAGAACACTGGTGTCACACTGACGCTGCTAAAATGTCGACTTGTAAAGATCCAAAAGAAAATTTACATAACAAAGCTAGGACCTCCCCCTATCCAGGATCAAAGATCGAGCGTGCTAAAGTACCCAATGATAAGGTTGACTGGTTAGTTGACTGGAAGGACTACAGCCCTGTGGAATATACTGCACACTCCGTTTTGGCAGGACCTACGTGGGCAGATCCAGAGATTGGGTGAGCAGTGCTGGTGAACCAGAGGGATGAAGCAAAACTTTTTGAGGATGACTTTAGTGGGATCTTTAGCAGTGCATGACTAGAAACGAGGTTTTCACCGCTGCAGCGGTAAACACCATTCTTATTTTGACCTGTGAACTTCTTAGATGTTAGAATGGTCAAAATAATAAAGGACTGCTGTTTAGGACAGTAAAACTTCTGGTTTTAGTTGGCTTATTTGTTTATATTTTAAAATACTTACACATTGCTCTGTCTAACATGATACTGTTAAGTGGGAAACAATTAAAGTGTAGAGTTCCACAGAGAACTGGGGAAGGATTGTGCACACATACAGGTGCCAGAAACAAACACCAAAGGCATAACATGCCGTAACACTCCAAGACAGCTCCTGCAATCCTTTTCTCTGCTAGACAGATTTCTTGGACCAAGCACCACAACATACATCTAGGCCCTCCACTTACACACCACACAAATTGCCTAGGAGATGTACACAAACTCATGCCAAGGTATGGAAAGAAACAGCAAAAGTCCTGAACATGCTTGCTTGGAAGTAAGTTGCATTAGAACAAAAGTACATTTAGGACTGAGATTTTGTTAATTGACATGAAACACCTTTCATTATATATCTTTTTCTTTCTTATAAAGGGCCAAAAACTTCTCCCCAAAGTTCAATGAGAAGGATGGGCAAGTGGAGAGGAAGAGCCAGAATGGCTTATATGTAGTGGAAAATGACAGGCCCAGGTATTTGGAAGAGCGTGTCTGTTCCTGTGTGTTATATATTCATTTCCCCTGCAAAAGCAGATTTGCTTAGATGAGGAGGCTAGATGGAATTGCTGGGCAGAGGGTGTGAGCTTGGGTGGACTCCGAGGGATGGTGGAGGACAGGAGAGCCTGGAGGATTGTTGCCCATGGGGTTGTGATGGGTTGGGCATGGCTTATTTCAGCCCTCCAGTGGGAAATGGCATATCTCATTATTACATGTGTGGAAATCCTGTTTTAATCCTTGTGCAAGCGACTCATGCAATGCTTCCATTGTCTTTGCACAAGTTGTTCCAGAGGACGATTTGATCAGTTTAAGTGTTGCTTGCACTAGTTGTGCTAATTGGTCTGCTAACAGCTATGCAGCTGCTAGCGAAACAATACCAGGTCTTGTAACGTTGCCACTGTATAGCCTTCTGACTAGTGTTCTTACAGCATTCTTTCCAGGAGAAAATGAAGTAGTGTATATTCAGACGCTGTGAACTTAGTGTTTCTCTTTGACGCATTGGCATAGTACTAACGATATTTTGTTAAATACTTTTAAGTGCATAGTTTCCAAAATGCTACTTAAGGCTTATCCAAAGGGCTGACCATGCCCCATGGGATTTTTGTTTTGGATCTCACTCTTCTTCAAAGCTGCAAATAAACTGCTTATGAAAAGCATCCCTATTTCAAAAATAGTTCCCCAAGTGGCATTTGGTGAGGAGAAGGGAAGCTGCTGTTCAAGAAGCCAAGTCCAAAATTTCTTTGGGCATATGGAAGTTTCTTAGTGTGGGTCTTTGGATCCAAGCCCCGCTTTCAGCTGCACTATGTTAATTTTCAGGAACCCGGTAGGCAGGACTGGGATAGTGGGTCGAGGTCTGCTGGGACGCTGGGGTCCAAATCATGCCGCAGATCCTGTTATAACTAGGTAAGCAGCATCATGCTACAAGATGAAGCTAGCAGAGTGGGGAAATATCACTGTATTCGGGTGCAAATATTTGGTGTTTAGTATATGAGCTATTTTGAAAAGAAAATTGATCCTCTTGCTGTCATGGTGCTTTTTGAGCTGTACTTCAAACAAATCGGAAAGCAACAGTTCCATTACGTTGTCCAAGGCTCCTGCTGTGCTTCTTTTTTGAGCAGACTTAAGGTTTATGGCACTCATTTCAAGTGCAGTGCTCTGAGTCAGTTCATGCATAATGCCAAACCGTAGTTTGCACTATGTGAATGGAGCCCTGTGCTCACGATACTCCCTGCCCACTCCTCTCTTCATGGGCTGATTGCCTTCTCCACTTGCAGTTTAGCAGCAACCATGCAGTTACAGTTACCATGAAAATCCATGTTGCAGAAGTAACATCCATGGTTCGCCATCACACTTATCCCCTATCATTTCCTCTTCATGTCATTGTTTTGCTTTTCTGAAAGTTTTGGGCAAAATTATGGAACCATCTTTTCCCTCTCTGTTGCTCCTTGCAGATGGAAGAGAAATGGCAGTGGCAATAAAGTAACTCACCCAGTTTCCGGCAAAAACATCTTGCAGTTCATTGCGATCAAAAGAAAGGACTGTGGGGAATGGGCCATCCCAGGGGTGAGAAGAGGAATATTGAGAATCGCTTTAAGAAAAAAAAAAGGGGCTGTATTTCCAAAGTATCTGTGCACGTGTGTGTTCCACAGTTCATTTCCACAGTTCGTTTGCTTTGAAAGATAAAGCTGTACCCAGTGATTCGAACATAAAATAGTGAGCAGGCTGCTCATTCTTATATGGCATATGAAGTTGAGAGAGGGGGACAACAGACATAATGGGAGACCTGTCATTGGTACTTAAATGTTTTTATAGCACTTGCTGGAGGGAGTTGTTTATTGCCTGTCCTTTGGTTGCATGTCCTTTGATTGCCTCCTCTTGCAAGACTGCTGTTATGCGGGGGAAACATCAGGTAACCAGAACATTCCCTGAAAGGATATGCAACAGGTGACAGTTCTCTCTTTTAGGGAATGGTAGACCCAGGGGAGAAATTATCTGCTGCACTAAAGCGAGAGTTTAGCGAGGAGGCTTTGAACGCCTTACAGAAAACTGAGGCTGAGAAGGAAGAGATGGAGAAACAGCTGAACAGGCTTTTCAGTCAGGATCACTTTGTGGTGAGTGACCTCTCTTTGCTCACAGCAATTTGGTAAGCTCATTAAATAATATACATTAAGGTTGATTCAACTTCTTTCAAGTAGATAAATGAATAGTAATAGCATTTCAGCAGTAAGGGCAACAGGTTAAAAAGGGGATGTTGCATTTTTTCCAATTCAACAAACAATTTTCTTACTTGTTAAGTAAAATAGTATGAAAAATGACCAACAGCAAGTCACCATCTTAAGAGGTGTTCTTCCCATATGCGAAAGGAGCTTTGCCTCTTCCTTATTATATTGCATTTATTTCACCTTTTTCCAAGGTGGCTTACACAATCTTCAACCTTTTCTCTGTTTTATCCTCACAGCAATCCTGGCACTGCTTACTATGACTCACATGTACAATATCTGAAAACCACATTAAATAACAACAATGCCATTCTATTTTCTTATATACAAGTATATATGCAAATATATGCAGATTTAATCAGATTTAAAGCTCATGCAAGTAGTTGCCTAGGATCTCTTTAACCTGTCAGCAGCCCTAAAAGTGGTCATAATGCATATTATCATATACCTTGGTTTCCAGGTGTATAAAGGGTATGTGGACGATCCTCGTAATACAGACAATGCTTGGATGGAGACAGAAGCAGTAAATTACCATGATGAATCTGGTAGGTGATGGTGCTGTTTCCCTTGTTCAGAGGGTATTGATGATTTTACCTATTCTTGATTGTGGAAAACTGGAGAATGATAGAAATTTCAGAAGGATTTGGACTGCTCATTGTTGGTATATCTAGTTGAATGTTGTTATGCTTAAAATCAAAAAGTCTATCATGCACAAAATATTTTCCGTCATCTCAATATGATGCTGTTTGTGATGGCACATAAGCACCATTGCACATATGAGGGCTTGAATCCCAGAGTGTCATTCCGCCTGCAGAAAGGAAACTGCTAGTGGAGTGTATTTTTCTTTTCTCCTGCAGCCCTCCAAATGGCCTCCAGATGTGCTCTGGAGCATTAGAGGGCAGCAAAACTGGGATGTTTGGGCTGCAGAAGGTGGCAGTGTCCAGTGGTGGAAGTGGAAGGCAATTGTCACAACACTGAATTTGAAGTTAGATCATCTGTACATCTCATTCATTCATTCATTCATTCATTTCATTCATTCATTCATCTGAGATCTTCCGATATTTTTTACTTCAACACCCAGTGTTCCTGACTATTAGCCATGCTGGCAGGGGCTTCTGGGAGTTGAAATCCAGAACATCAGGAGATCTACCTTCTGTCTGACAGGCAGTGGGTCCTGCAGGTTTCAGATGTGTCTTTCCCATCTAAGCCCTACTAAGAGATGCCAGCCTTTGATCAAGGGGACCTTCTTTTGTGGTATGCCCTTAGCCACTAAGCTGTGGTCCTTTTAAAAAAAAACAACAACACTTCTTTGAGGTAGGGCTGGCTGCCAATCACTAAATAAATTATTAGCTGTATGAGAATCTCCGCCTGTATGTCTTGCAAAGTGGAAATAGTGGGAAATGATGGACTATGTTGAGGAGTAAAAACATGCAAAAAAATCAAAGGAATGTTATAATTTCTCTTCTTACAGGTGAAGTAATGGACAATTTGCATTTGGAAGCAGGGGATGATGCTGGGAAGGTGAAATGGATTGACATCAGTGAAAAGCTTAAACTGTATGCCAGCCATGTTGACTTTATCAGGCTTGTAGCAGAGAAAAGAAGAGCTCACTGGAATGAAACTGACCTTGATTGCCCTGATCAAAGCCTAAACTAAATCTCACACTTGTCAGATGGAAGAATTGTAGCTGAATGAAGTGTGAATGCCCTTTGAAGATGCATTGCTGATGAATGAGTTGAAGCTGTAAAGTATCGGTTGCCAAAGTTAAACAAAGCTAATTTTCCTTGAATTCCAGAGATTTAAACACATGCTTAACTCTTCCACCCAAATCAATGGAGCTTAAAAGTGTTTCACCTTAGTTATATCACGCTGTCTCCTTTTAATCAAGAAATCTTGCTAAGGGATTATATAAACTCATGTAGCCATTTTGTATGGGGAAAAATAAATCCATAACAGTGTGGTTTTTGTCTGTTAATTGGAGTGTTTTTTGAGAGACATTTTGCAGTTTATGATTACAAATGAATTACAGTTACACAAGTGCTGTGATGTTTTTCCTTTACATAGCTGTTATCATTATTAATCGTATATGCAATTCTGTTCCTCTTATTTCTGCACTGATCCAGTTCTTTGTAGAGAAGGGGAGTAAAATCTTGGATATCATTGGAAGAAAAAATTAATATAGATTTATCTAATGATCAGGAAACAAAGGGTAACAAACTGGAAGAAAACTATAACTTGGTATAAAACACTCTGGTAGCATTGTTTATACTGACAGGTTGTTGATTTAAAAATATAGTGTGGTGTCCAAAGAGCTCTTGAACTTTTGTGCAAACACTGAGGCAGGTTCTGTCTTTTCACAAAGATTTGCTCACTGTAGTAACCATTTTAGAGAGTCTTCTGATATTCAGGGACAGTTTGCTTTACCTCTGGTCTAGTACACGTTCTGCGGGTCTCAGTAATTGCACATACTTGTTTGAAATCATCAACAGTGTAAAAGCTGGCGTCTAACTTCCTGAGTCCAACACCCAAGTGATTTTGAACTGCTGTGGGCTGCTCTGAAATTCAGTTCTGTTTCTGTGCCATTATTGGAATGTCTTTATGCCATGGCATAGTTTGGAGTCAGTCCAGATTTAATAGCAAATGACTGATACTGCAAACTGGATAGGCCAATAAATTTCTCATTGTTAGTATATGCACTAGCTTAGTTCAATGTAACACTGCTGTTTGTTGCATCAACTTATATTTTCTGTAATGCTTAGAATGCATTCTCCAATTCTTGCTTAGTAAATTGCACAACATCACTGTTTTCCTCAACATGTCTTACCATCTTTTGGTTTGCTTTGCCAACGCAAGGCAGTTCCAGAAATTCTACTGACCAGAAAGTATGATGCCATCTTGGACCCAACTGGGCCAATGGAGGGCAGACTACTGAGAGACAAATTAATTGAGCTGTACTGCAGTTGTAGGAAAGATGCCTGGCTTTTGTTCTTTGAGCTGGCAATGTGTCCTTTTGAGTAAGAGGATGTGGCTCCAATTTTACTCCAGAAGCAAAACTGTCCTCCGTGCATCAAATGTTTGGAACATAATGCAATGTTATGGTTGACCTTTCTCAAAAGTTAGATGCTACAATCAATAGAAGCAGCAACTACATGCAGTATTAGTGGAAACTGGTGATACATGGTCATTCTACACCAGAATGGAAGGGAAGGCTGAAACGCTTGTTCTAATATCCGTTAATAATAACAGATGCATCAGAATAACTTGGTCATTCTGGATTATTTTCTTTATTTATGCAATTTTAAAGGGGGGAAAACACTGCTTTCCAGCAAGAAAAAAAAATAGATTGACATATCTGTTAAGTGACATATCAGTCAAATGTTGGCAGGCAGATCAGTAAACCATGTATTCAAATCTTTATGGTGATAAAAACCATGTAATATCTAACCATAATGGACGCTAAATCCATAGTTAATACACGATCATATTGCTTTTAAGAATTTTAAAATTAAAGTGTCAATGCTAAGTATTTGCCAAATATAAAAGCTTAGTTTAGACAGAGATGCTGCTAAATTGCTTTAGTGAAAACAAATGCGCACAAAAGATGATGAAATGTGTACAAGAAATGCATCACTGTTCTTTATAACCAATTAAAACAAGTAGAATTAAAGTGTGGCTTGAAGACTTCAGGAAGCAAGTGAAAAGCAGGAAGACCACCTCGGAGAGCATCTTTCACATTCTTTTTGTCACCTTTAGAACATAAAATTAGATTTACTGTTCAATAATTAATGAGTAATCCAGTTAGAGTGATTCCACAGTATGACAGCAGTGGGAAACATAATCACATCTATTCCAGACTATGGGATAATGCCACTGTAATGCATACTACAGTAAACACACAGCCCTGGACTGGTTTTGCTTCTGAACTACTGAGCAAGAGCAGGTAGCAGTAGGATGCCAGCTTTTGCCATTGCAAAGCTGGGACCTTTGCTTAGCCCTAGAGGACCCATATTTTAGAGAAGTTCCTAGGCATGGTTGTGGTGGGTCTGGCTGAGAGATGGGCCAAAATACCTGTATATTTTAACTTCAACCTTCTAACTGTCAGTAGTTAAGCTTTATAAGAAGCATTTCTAACATGGCAGGAAAGGCTACCCCAAAGCCAAGAAAGCCTAACTGGGGAGAGGTGAGGATGGAGGAAGGGGGGCATGGCCATTTGTGGAACGCCAGAAGTTTGGTTTAGGCTTCTCAGCTTGAGGTTCTGCAACTCTGACACAAGCCATGCTGAGCTGGATAGGCCAGGACTGGCTCTGACTTGGCATGTGGCCTCTTCTTATTCTATATTCCTTCTGCTTATAGGATGGAGAGTGCAAAACAATTTTGTCCTCATGGGTTGCATCCAGTGTTGGGCGCATTGCATATGCTGGCACAGGCATTCTTCTCCCGTCTCTGGCACATATGCAGGACTGGGGAAGTATGGAACCTCCTTCCCTACCCAGTGAGATGTAGGGATCATGGGGCAGTGGAGTGTAGTCTCTCCCATCCCCCAGTGATCACCACAGCTTTGTGGTTTCTCTGCCACAACTATTATCAGGAAAAGAGTAACGTGGGGATCTGGTAGCTTTCCCCTATAGGCCTGCTTATTAGCGCCAGCCTCCCATGTTGCCTTTTGCAGCTGTGTGGGAAGTGGGTCAGGCTTGCACTGAACATCCCTGCTTTACAAACTTCTTTGTTACTTGGCATCCTTGCTATAGATTAGCTGTCCCTGAAATGAGGGCATCATTCAGCTGAAGCGAGGGATTGTTGGAGAGCTGAAAGCAACCGGAGGGTTGAAAAGTAATGTGGGACATACAGCTCCATCCTATACTTGGTTATTTGGAAGATTAAATGGAGCTTGTTCCCAGATCAATGTGCAAGGGATTCCAGCTTCAAGTGCTTTTAGCTGTGCGAGTCTCGGGCATAGATATACATGGAAATAAATGAAGAAACTGAAACTCATGAAACAACTAGGCAGTAAAAAGGAATTATAGCGACATTAAATACTTACCGAGAGAGAAAGTATCTGCTGGGCTGCTATTTCTGTTGAAAAATGTTATTTTTTAAATTAAAGTTCTTATATAGGAAGTATACAGAAAACATCTGCTGCAGCTCATTTCTGCCCTGCTGGCAAGATTGCCACAGGCCTTTAGATTATTCAAAGGCTTCAAGAAAGTTTCCTCCTGCATAGTTAGGTTTGCCCCCCACTTCTTTACTGTACATGGTTTAATGGATGTTCTTTTTTGAGTCTACATGTTTGCAGGGTGGGGGATACAGCTCTCTATAGAAAGGGCCTTTAAATACAGTGCAAACATAATTTGTGATCATTAGGTAGGACCAGTTGTATTTAATGATATAAAGTCCAAAAATACTTACCCCCATAAAAGGTGGGTAGCCCTAAAAATGCAGAAAACATTACATTTAGACTTTGTAGATGAACGGTTAATGCTAACTCAAGGAACATAACTAGGATGTGACTGTGGAGCGCAATCATCCATCCTGTACCCAGAACTAACAGTGGAGCCACTGGAGAGCCTCACTGGCGGAGATTATAGTAATTAAAGGCTCTGTGGGACCTTAGTATCCAGTAGGATAGGGTTATTAAGCCTTTTTTTCATTCCGAGGCCCAAATTCAAGTTTGGAGAAGCTCTTGGGCAAACACACTCCAGGGTTTGGCAAGGCCAAAGACCAACTGGAGAGGGCCAAAATTCCCACCTGCATGTTGTAACTGATAAGCATTTTATTTCAGCCTTTCAGAAGGGGTTCATGTGCAGAAGCCAAGAAACTGCAACATGACTGGCAGCTGGAGAAAGAGGCATTGTCACTGGGAACCCCAGAAGGCCAGATTGGGACCCCAGGCAGACGAGATGTGGTCTCCAAGTCTGAAGTTCTACATACAGGTAGCTTATGCTGAATCAGACAGTCCTGTCCATCTAGCCCAGGTTTGTCCTGACTCACTGTAGTGGCGCCCCATGGTTTTGAGCAGGGATCTTTCCCAGCCCTATCTGGGTATGCCAAGGATTGAGGACATTCTGCATGGAAAAGGTGCTATGTCACTCTGCCACTGCCGATTGTGGGCAGTCAGTGGCTTTTGATCTGCGTTAGTGGGGCTCTTCTTTTGGTCTGCAGTGTGGATGTTGTGAAATCCATGCAGTCTGCATTCCACAGAAGGTCAGGCACTTCTTGTTCCGGCTTCCACTCATTGACAGAATTGGATTCACCCTTCCAAAAGTGTGAACATCCCCCCATCCCAAGATACAGAACTCTCCCCAAATGCACATTTTTATACTTAAGTCTATGAACAGATTTTTTTCCATATTTTTCTACAACTACATGTCTGTTAAGTTTTTAAAAATGCAAATTTCTCCAACCTCCCTAATCTGCCATAATTAGAAGCAGCAGAGGGGGCTCTTTCCCTGTGGCAGTTGTCCACATTGCACCAGGATTACGATATGCGGTTTGGGATCAATAACATGTTTCCTTCTCATAGGAACACTAACCTCCCTTGTTAGCTGGATGACTTCCATATGGAAAAAGACGCTCATGACTGTCTCCATCCATGCACTTCTTTAATGCACATGATTAGAGTGGTGTGAGAAAAAGGTAGCGCAGGATGTTCTCACAGCTGTGCAGGTGAGCGTGGATCAGACATACGACTAGGACTAAGGAAGGCTGTAAGCCCTAAACCTCATGCTCCGAAAGACAACTGGTCTGTAGCACATGTTAGGGACAAACTCCTCCCTTTCAAATCCTGTTCCCTTAATCTTGCTTTCAGTCTTTCCTTTTTCAGTATAAACATCCAACACTACTTCTGCAATCAGATAATTTTTACTAAGCCTCAGCTTGCCCTCAGATCCTTGGTTCAACAGAAATAAAGGGTCACGCAGAGCAATGAACTTACTAGAACAGGAAATCCAGGAAAAGAAAACTGGGCAGAAAAAGGAA